TGATGCAACCACCGCGGGTTCTGGAAAGACTAGGTCTGATCGAAGTTGGAGAGCTTTGGCTAGTGGAACGTGCCCTCTATGGACTGAGAGAGTCGCCTCGCCTGTGGAGTGATCACAGGGATGGAACCCTACATGGCATGGAAATACAACAAGGAGGCAGGACGTTGAAGTTGCTGCCGAGTTTTGCAGAAGAAAACCTTTGGCTGATCAAGGATACCAGCCTTAGAGATGAAGGTGGAGTGCAAGGATTGGTTTTGATTTACGTGGACGACATGTTGGTCATGTCGAACCCGGAGATCACCAACATGGTGGTGGAAAAGATACAGAAGACATGGGAAGTGACCAAACCTCAATGGGTCACTGAAACAGAGCCAGTTCGGTTCTGCGGGATCGAGATCTACAAGAACAACGAAGGGGATTACTTTGCGGGACAGCAGTCCTTTGTGAAAGAAGTGCTGAAGCGCCACAACTGCAAGGAGTTTGCGGCATCCCCTTTGAAAGACAACTTCGAGCCGGAGGAGGAGCTAGATAGGACAAGAGAGGAGATCCAACTGGCCCAAAAACTGGCCGGAGAACTGCTGTGGTTGGCCGGAAAGACCCGACCCGACCTAACCTAGCTTACACTACCAGCCGTATCTGTTCAAATGCAACCAGGTCTCCAAAATGGTGTGCAGGAGCAGCTGCACACACCATGAAGTACCTCAACAGAACCTGGGGTATGGGACTGTACTTCAGGAAGAAGGGAGGGAATGTCCTGGAAGTGGCAACAGATGCCAGTTTTGCACCAGGTGGTGGTTTGTCGCATGGCTCAGTGGTAGCAAGCATGGGAGGTACGCCAGTGATGTGGAGGTCCTCAAAACAGCCTTTCCCCTGTTTGTCTACCGCAGAGACTGAGCTGGTAGAAGCCATCGAGGGAGTCATAGTTGGAGACTCTTTAGCATGCATAGTGGAGGAGTTGGAAGGAAGAGTGGATAAGCAGCTGGTATGTGACAACATGGCAGCCGTGGCTTTGTCCACCACGCGGACAGGAGCTTGGCGCACACGGCATTTGAAAGTACGTGCGACACACCTCAAATGGAGGGTGGAAGCTGGAGACTGGAAGATGCACCATCGACGGGGCACAGAGCTCGTCGCAGACATGGGTACAAAGCTTCTTGGTGCCAACAAAACGAAGGATCTGTCAAAGAAGATGAATCTGGAATGGCTACCAGATGTAGTAGCTTTCTCCAGAGCGAAGGAAGAAAGGATTGAGAAAGAGGAAGAAAAATTGGCAGAGGAACAGGACAGAGAACCAGCTGTGACGGTATCCAAGAAGGTCTTTGCAGGAGATATGGAAAAGGTGGTAAAGATCGCCACCCTCATGGCGGTACTTCAGAAGGTAGAAAGAGTATATGCCATGGACAAGAGTGAGACGGAAGAAGGATCAGAAGTTTTGGCGGCATTTGGCTTGTTGATGATGATCCTTGGAGTGGTTTTGTACAAGTTGGTAGAAAGAATGTGGAAGATCTTTCATGAGAAGAGAGATCACGAGGAATGCCAAGCTCGCGCCCTTACGCGCGACTCTCGCGCCCTTATGCGCGACTCTCGCGGCCTTATGCGCGACTCTCGCGGCCTTACGCGCGACTTTCGCGGCTTCATGCGCGATCGAGAACGTCACCAACTTCATGTACGCGAAGAAGAAGAAGAGATAAGTTGTGAAGAAGGAGAACAGACCACCGTGAAAGTGGCGACTCTGAGGATGAGAAAAGCTGAAAATAAAGGTTCCAATGAAAAAAGACAGGAAGGAGGAAGCTCCGCTACCAGAAGCGACAGTCACACAACCGAGAAAGGCACGGAGGAACGACATGACAAAAAGGGAGCACAGACAGTGCCTCCTATGCCCGCTCAAGGACGGAGCTGTGGGAACCCTGGAGGAGAGGGAGCCCAGTCTGCTCGTCCTGGACGACGCTGTGGGAACCCTGGAGGAGAGGGAGCCCAGTCTGCGGGTCCGAGCGGAGCAGTGCCCACTCCTGGATGGCGCTGTGGGAACCCTGGAGGAGAGGGAGCCCAGTCTGCGGGTCCGAGTGGTGCAAAGCCTAACCAAGGAGAGGGAGCTCGGTCTGCGCGTCCAGATAGTGCAGAGAAGCCGAACCTGGTGGGGCCAATCATCACACCAAATGGGAGGAGATTCCATAGAAGCAGTGGATGCCCGACGTTGGCACAGTCTTGGAAAGGAAGAAAGCCTCTTTGTGGTGAATGTGGCGACACCTACTTGGTGGCTGACGTGATGATGATGGATAAGAACCAGTTAGTCCATACGAAGAAGAAGTGCCCTAAGGTTGTGGGAGAGCTGATCGGATATGATGCATGCCAAAGGTGTGCTTAGCGGCTTGGGCCTAGAGAGCTCAAAATTTTCCAGAAAGCAGGATTGCATGAACATGTCAATCCTGGGAGGAGTGCATGGATGTCAGACACTCCAATTTGAAACGTGAAACAGCATGTTCAGTTGTGTAGGTTTCAGTCTTGCTGAGAAAGTCAGAGAAGATTAGCACAGCCACCTGCACAGGATGACACGCCAAATCGAGACGGCATAGCCGCTTTGTGGTTCAAAACAAGTTGCCAGGGCTGACCTGCGTGCAGATTTACATGGATTTATCTGGTTTTATGGCTGATTTGTGATAGCTAAGTTGGATTTTGTCGATGCTTACCCTTCGGTAATTGAACAGTTTGCTATGGAAAATGGATGAACATGGTCCAGAAATAGTTCCATGATTTACCTACTGGTTTATATCAATGTGACTTTAAAGTTGACAAACATTTTTGCACATTTCCATAGCTCAATTTTCCTGGTGATCACCGTGATCGCCATCAAAACCCACCATATCTTTCTTGCTTAAATCAATTTAAATCACTATTTCTGTTGGTTCAATGGATGTTTTTTTTGGGAAAATCGCCGGAAACCATGGATTTTCCCATTGAATATGGGGGGTTTCCTGTCAAATTTCCCTTAACCAATTCATTCCGAGCATGTGGGATGGATCCGGCCGAAGGCCGGAAGGAATGATTGGAACCCAGAGGGTTCTGAAAATGTTGGGAAAACCCAGAAGTTTCATGGTTTATCATGGTTTATCATGATTTATCATGGTTTCTCATGGTATTTTGCCTATTTCAACATGGTATTTTGCCTATTTCAACTGCTTATCTGGAGGATATAGCCCGTTGTCAGACACGCCCAGATTTTGAATATCTTTGACATCTTCCAAAGTGTGGGAAACATGTTGAACCCAGCTAGGGACAAATAGCTCCGCTTGCTGGAATGATTTTCCTGAATTCAATCAGAAAAAACATCACGAACCCCCCTTTGCCTCTCAGATAGGTTTGTCTGAAAATACGTCCAAAATCTACCGGTTCCTTCATAATGTCAAAATAAACAAAAACCTCTTTGGGGATAGACCGCATTTTCAGACACAGCCGAGTTTGTTTTTGTTTCGGAAAGTTACGACTAACCTTCGACGACTTGGATGGCTCAAGAATGGCCTGTAATAAGCTGAACAAAGACAGAAATGTCAAGTGACCTATTTGGAGGTTTCCATAGTCATGGGGCTACCCCGATAGCTGGATGGCTTAATGTCAACCCTGGATTAATAAACCCTTAGGCTGTTTAATTGGGTGAGTACCATTTAAGTATCAGATTATGACTATTGGGGAAGTACCCCCCCAATTAACAAACTATGGTTTATTAATCCGGGATTGATATTATTTCATGGAAACTTCCCAACCAAAATGGATGATAGCTGAGGGCGTCCCCCATTTCTTCTGGTGAAATCAATGTTGTTCAACACATGGATTGTCCAATCAGCGGCCATGAAGCAAATTTGACCCCCAAAGAAATGGTGTGCAGTTTTACTTGCCTAAAAAAGTGCATTTCACCATAGTTATCATAGTTCTAGGGGCCCTCAAAACCCCCGAAAACTCTGTGTTCATCCCCATTTTTGGGTGCCCGTACCACCGCATGTCTGGCTCAGCTTTTTTGAATCAAGGGCCCGTTGTGAGTTGGAAAAGATGCGGCCATGAGGCCACCAGGGGTAAATTCACATACCCTCTGGTTATGTCAAAATAGCTGTTGAAAATGGTGGATTTACCCATGAAAAATAGTGATTTTCCATAGCTATGTTAAATAACCAGAGGGTAGATGCGGAAAATCAGCAGAATTCCCGTTCGGACGATTGGGTCAATCCCACTTTGATGCAATCACATGGTCATGATCTCACTTACCGAAACAGGAGCAGGTCAGCACGGTCAGCATGATAGTGATGCTCTCTCCATGCTTCCAATGTGGCGAAGGAATGGCTCCCAAAAGGTGTCAATGCTCACCAGATGGTTTCAGATCACCCAAATGGCCTTATTTCAAGGTAGTGAAATCCAAAGATTAAAAACACTGGATAAGTTAACGCTAGTAAGGAATATTAAGTTACACTGGCTGTTGGTTATTAGAATATTTCAACGCTGCTGAGTGAATTGAGATCCTGGAGGTCGCTGGATTGAATCTTCACTGTCGAAATGTCTTGGGGACTACTTTGGACATGTCAAGAAATCGACCAAAAAAGTCGACTGCCTCTAAACATACGTATTATATATATATATATATGTGGAAAAACACATACAAAAAAAGCCCTGCTACTAGCTCCCCAGAAATCGGTCCGAAAAAAACCATCCATCTTGGCGATCCATTTTGATCAGCAGAAAATGGAAGCCATGAACTAAGCTAAGCCCTGCGAATCAACTCGAAGGTATACAAGACATATACAAGACATATCAAGACGAAAAAAAAAACTACCCTCTGGTAAACTAACATAGCAATGGAAAATCACCATTTTTAATGGGAACATCCACTATTAATGGCCATTTTCAATTGCTATGTTAGTTCACCAGAGGGTAATTCGAAACCCAACTGGAACAAACAAAAAATATGAAGCGGATATCCGCCTTAAGCTTTTAGTCCCATCCCTTGCCATTCAGCCATGTGGTTTGGCTCCGCTCTGGCGTTTCTTCCAGCGTTGTGGCTGGGGCGGAGCAGCGGAATGAGGCTGTCGTCGGCCGGGGAACTAGCAATGGGGGGGAATATTCATGGGATGAAAAGATGACTGAGTACTACTCAGAAACTTAGTAGTGCCCGTAACTTAGAACTACTTAGCAACTTGGGATTGGGGTTTTGAGATATTGCAAAAGATGTATAACTTTTGTAACCAAGACTCTTATACAACCAACTATATTGAAAGATAGACATATGACATATATATATATAAATTCCTGGATATGTAAAAGAAATCTAAAAACGGGGATACTTGGAGGATCATCCCACAAATCCAAAGTGCTTGGGATCACCGAAGTTATAGATGGGATAACCCGTGAAACGGCCAGCGGCTTGCTGTTTTTCCCTGGGGAAATGGCTGATAGGATCAAGTCTCCCAGGTTCAATGGGAGAAATCGGAGTGGATGTATCATGACTGGGAGGATGACTTTCAATGCCATCTAAATTTTCCTCGATCTTCAAACATGGGTGTCTAGTAGTTGGTTCATTCTCGACTGAAGGTGGCTTTCCGAACAGACATGGGCTTGTAAACCGCGAAATGGGAGGAGGTCCTTCCAAACAAGATGGGTATACGGCAAGGGTCATAGACGGCCAAAAGAATAAGGTTTACACTTAAACTGCGTTTTTTTTGATCAAACGTGGCTGGCTGATCTTGGGAAATCCATGGAAATCCACTATAAATGGAAGTTTGTAGCTGAGAAAATCATCCACATTTTTAAATGGGTGATTTTCCAGCATGTGACACCAACCGATCCGGTGTGCTGCACATTTCACCAGGGCGGGTTCTGCAGCTGTTGATCAATAGGAATGAATCATTTTAGCAGCTACCGTCATCGGGCTCGATGATAAAAAAAGGCTTGCTTCTGTACTAGTGACGAATATTGAATATTGGAAATACACATCTTTGTTGTAGAATTCTGAAAACCTAGTGCTGCGGAGTGTACTGTACAATATCGAACTTGATCAGCAAAGGGGCGGTGTCCACAAAGCCCAACCCCATTTCGCGCTAGCCCTCTGGGAGAAGTTCCCACTGATCCGGTAATTTGTTACAGTTAGCTATTGAAAAGCTATTGAAAATGGTCCATTTAGTTCGTTGATTTATGTTGATTTACCTATTAAAGATGGTGATTTTCCAGTTCGCAAACTGATTTAACTGTTAGTTTACCAGATGGTATCCCCAATGTACATTTTCCCGGCCCAGAACCTGGAACATGAGGACAGGTTTTGCCAAGGGCCTGGAACAACTGAGACAAAGAACTTTGTCGGAGTCTTAAGTCGTAAGAACCTCCCATCAATACTCATCAATTCTCCAAATCTTTGTAAATCCAATTACTATTCAACCTATTAAAATCTTCTATTGGGTATTTTCAGATTTAATCAATAGAACTCAATAGATAGAAAGTGATAAACAATCTATCTATTTTCATCCCAATCACCGTTCAATATCATTACATGAAATCTATATTCAATATCTGCTTGGTGGTTTGGAACATGCGTTTTATTTTCCCATATGTTGGGAATAATAACCCCAAACTGACGAACTCATATTTTTCAGAGGGGTAGGGCTCAACCACCAACCAGATAAAATTCAATAAGAATTTCATCCCAATCACATCCGAATGGTCTCCAGGGCGCCTTCGCAAAATCCTGCGCATCCTGAGCTTCGCGACGCATATCGCGTGGAGGAGTTTTCTGGATCATCGTCTGGGGATTGATCAATGATTATCCTCTGGGTAAACTAACAGTTTTCGAACTGGAACATCACCATGCTATGAAATGCTATTAAATGCTATTTTTCTGTGTAAAAAAACGAACTTTGGACTGGGCCATTTGGCCATTTGCGAAGTGTAACAAATTACCAGAGGGCATCTATAGCGGTGATTAACTACGGATACATGATTAATGAATAATGTCAACCCTGGATTAATAAACCCCGTTCACGGCTGTTGAAAAAAGGGAAGGTACCATCAAAAAGTATCAAATCATGACTATTGGGGGAATACCCCCCTAATTAATAAACCATGGTTTATTAATCCGGGGTTGACATTATTAATGATCAACCTCGGTTGGTTGAATTATAGAGGATTATACTGCCAATCTATTGGGAATTATCACAATCCATGAAGGCCCAATTGAATGACTGCCAATCTCCTCCCCATTTTATCGGTTGAAACCCACCTCGTAAAAGCGGGTATTAGCCTCAAAACATTTTTGGCTGTAAAACCATCCCAGATTTTTGGGTGGCTGTTGACTATGACTTGACGCAAATCCCAAATCACTCACTGATTCTCTGAACAAATGGAGATTATCAGGATCGTGCATGGCCCAAAGCTACTGTGAATGATACATGATGTTACGTTTGTCTCGCCTTATTATTTTGTGGTTTGCATGCTTGAGCCAAGTGAATCCTTTTTTTTTTTGAGGTGGCCGAATTTATGACAGTTTTCTTGAATGGGAGTGCCCGAAAAGCAGTTTTTTTTGGGCTGGCGAGTTGATCATGAAGTTCAACTTTGAGCGAAAGTTGACACACATAATATGATTTGTATGTGGTATATATATATATGGGATGGGTCAAAACCCTGGTACCTAGTGAACCCAAAATAGCTGGGATTTATGGATGTTCATCCCCCTAAAAATGGTATTAATAGGTATTGATCCATACCCATATATATAATATGGTTTCATAACAGAAAATATGGGATTCAAGAATATCTTGCAACAAAAATTGAACCCGTCCAAGACGTCTCACGGGTAGAATTGAGATTGGTCCAGCTTTGGAGTTTTGCTGGCCACATCCCGAATTGTCCAAACGTTCACCGCACGAAAGTGAACGAAAATGCGAGGAAACACCGTTATATGGTACAGGATGGCCCCCCCCAGTTATAAGTTGGTTTATATACCATAACAAAACCCCCATTAACTAGTTCGTAGTATCTACCATAAACCATAGTTAAACCACTTACAAGGCAACTTAGCTATCTTGGGGGCCCATCCTGTAGTATGTTAAGGATAATGTTTTCAGAAGACAACTAATGTCAGTAAAGCAATGTCATCAACCACCCATATGGATGATTTCAATCCCACCGATAAACATGGTAAATTTGGGGATGGCTTACTATTGCTTTACTAACGTTATACAATAGTTAAACCACCATTAACATAATAGGCACAGCATCATTTTTTATCATCTGTAAACGGGCCATGGCTTCCAGAGCAAACTGTTAAATAACCAGAGGGTAGTAGGTATCTTCATCCCATTATTAAGCACTATTAATGATATTAACAATTATATATACACATATCCCATGTAAGCATATTAAATTTCATGATATCTCCACGGCAAATCCCATTAAAACCCCGAGACATTTTTTATAATTATCTAAAGTCCCATCAAAGCCCACATGAAACAACCATTAAACATCACCAACGAAGTTATCTAATGTATTATACCGGCCTTTGGATACGAAGATAACCGATATCAGTTTATATTTTCCATTATCTATAGTTACTATAGTTACTAATCTTATATGGAGGTGCGTCAAAACCTATTACTCTCAATTTTAGTGGGATGAACATCTATTTACTAGCTATGACTTGAGGTTGACTAGGTACCAGGGTTTTGACCGGTTTTGACCCATAGCCATATACTGTATAGACTATGGACAACTATGAATCATACCCTCTGGTAAACTAACATAGCTATGGAAAATCACCATGATTAATGGGAAAATCCACTATAAATGGCCATTTTCAATAGCTATGTTGACATTACCAGAGGGTAGAATCCAATCGTTATCTTCATATTTTTCCCAAGTCCTCCAGAGCGGTCAAGCTCCGCCAGGACCTTGAAAGCCGAGAAGCCACAGATCACTGGTGGCTCCCCTTCGTTGCTGGAGTCGTCGTGGGAGGCGATGGGGTGATGCCCCGGGTGAGCTGGTTTATAAACTGTATGGAGGTTTCCTAAAATATCGGTACCCCTAAATCATCCAATTTAAATAGGATTTTCGATTGTAAACTATTCATTTTGGGGTCCCTCCATTTATGGACCCTTCCGTATATTACATGCATGCATGCATGCATGCCTACCTGCCTACATACATACATGCATGCATGCATCCATACATCCATCCATCCAGACAGACAGACAGACATACATATACATACATATACATACATACACATACACATACACATATACATACACATACACACATATACACATATACACATATACACATATACACATATACATACACATACCTACATACATACCTACCTACCTACATACCTACATACCTACCTACATACCTACATACCTACATACCTACATACCTACATACCTACATACCTACATACCTCCATACCTACATACCTACATACCTACATACCTGCATACCTACACTACCACATACATACATACATGCATGCATGCATGCATGCATGCATACATGCAGACATGCATACATGCATACATGCATACATGCATACATGCAGACATGCAGACATGCAGACATGCATACATGCATACATGCATACATGCATACATGCATACATGCATACATACATGCATACATGCATACATGCATACATGCATGCATACATGCATGCATGCATGCATGCATGCATACAGACATACAGACATACAGACATACACACATACACACATACACACATACACACGTACACAGACATACACACACACACGTACACACATACACACATACACACATACACACATACACACATACACACGTACACACGTACACACATACACACATACACACATACACACATACATACACACATACATACATACACATACATACATACACATACATACATACACATACATACATACACATACATACATACATACATACATACATACATACATACCTACCTACCTACCTACATACATACATACATACATCTATACATACATAGAAACAAAACAAAACATAACATAACATAGCATAGCATAACATCATTACATTACGTTACATTACATTACATTACATTAAATTACATTACATACATACATACATACAGACAGACAGACAGGCAGGCAGACAGGCAGACATACATACATACAGACAGACAGACATACAGACATACAGGCATACAGACATACAGACATAACATACATTACATTACATTATTACGTTACGTTACGTTACATTACATTACATTACATTACATTACATACATTACATTACATTACATTACACTACATTACAGTACATTACATTACACTACATTACATTACATTACAGTACACTACATTACATTACATTACACTACATTACATTACATTACACTACATTACATTACATTACACTACACTACATTACATTACACTACATTACATTACATTACACTACACTACATTACATTACATTACATTACATTACAGTACACTACGTTACATTACATTACATTACACTACACTAGACTACATTACATTACATTACACTACACTACATTACATTACATTACACTACATTACATTACATTACACTACATTACATTACATTACACTACATTACATTACATTACACTACATTACATTACACTACATTACACTACATTACACTACATTACATTACACTACATTACATTACACTACATTACACTACATTACACTACATTACATTACATTACACTACATTACATTACATTACATTACATTAGACTACATTACATTACATTACATTACGTTACATTACATTACAAGTATACATGTATACATGTAGAGTAACCTCCAACAAGATAGAAATTGGTCAAATCTTAATCGAACTTTTTTTTGGTCAAATTGAAGCATCTTTTTACGGGGATTACTGTATGGAACTAGATTAAGTGTCGGGTGAAAAAAGTGCTTAACACACACACAACTGTTTTGGGTGCCACCTAGTAGCCCATGAAAGCATGTGACATTTTGACCAGCAAAAAAAATATTGAAGCATTCTGACTGGCACTTTTGTGTCCGAGAACATTGTTAGCTACTAAGATGATCTTAGGCGCGAACCCTAGTTTGTCAGTAGTTGTGCATCCTAGATCTAAGTAGTTATGCATCCTAGTTTGACCTAGTTAGTAAGTGGTTGGTGGTTTGGAACCATGGAAGTTTCTGACTTTCCATTCAGTTGGGAATGTCATCATCCCAACTGACGATTCGTCCATGATTTTTCGGGGTAGGGCTTTTCCCCACCAACCAGATAATCAACTTTCCATTATGAACAATGTTTAACCATCATTAACCCTTATTAACCATTATGAAACCATACTAACCATATTCTCAGAGATTATTAACCATCATTAACCATATAATAATAACCATCAGTAAGTTCGTGGCAAAAACATCATGGATTTTCCACACTTGGATTTGCGGAGTCGATCTTTGGCTCAGCATTTTCCACTGCTGGCTCCACTGGGGAACCTGGGATGGGCATCCCATGAATCTCCAGAAAAAAAGGTCAAGTACTTGGGATTTTTTTTCCATTAAAATTCTATCCACAAGTTGTCCAAGGTATCCATTGTTCGGGCTTATGTTCCATAGTTACCATAGTTAATTGGCCTTATATCCCAAGATTTTTGGTTGAAATACCATGGTTCTACTCATTTATAACCATAAATAGCCATTGTTTTCACTATTCTTAACCAATCATTAACCCATATCAACAATCATTAATCCATACCAATCCACGTTAACCCATGAATTCCACCCTGGCCCAAATCGCTCGATTTTTGCTCCAGGTGTCACCTCCCTGGGCCCGGCACTGGGCGTTCCCGCCGCGCGGGCGGCCGACTTGGTGAACGGGGAGGCCATCTTTGATGCTCGGCGAGCCATCCGGAACTGGGCAGTTCCACGTTAGCTATGGTCTATGATACAAATAACGGGATGTGACCATAGGAAATACATGATGCAAATGCGATGTTTCATCCCAAAATTGGAGAAACATTGATTGATTTAAGCGGAAATGGGTGATATTTTCGCCATAGTTGGGATAGAAATCCACGAAAATTTGTGGGTAATAACCTCCATGAATATATGGAGGTTTCCTAAAATGGGGGTAACCCCAAATCATCAATTTTTATGGTATTTTCCATTATAAACCATCCATTTTTGGGTACCCCCATTTATGGAACCCCCCAATGTCATAATGAGTGGGTTTATAACTCCAATAACTATGGTTTACCAGGTAGTGCCTGAAGTTTCGAAAAAAATGAAGCTGGCTACAAGAAATCAACCGCCCATAGGGAAAAGTCTATGAGATGCAGAAGCAATGAAGTGTTGAAGTTGTGTTAGTTGTGAGGTGCATCAACAAATGAGCAAATGGTGGTTGAGATGCCAATGAAATGACATGAAAAATTCCACACACAACTGACTGAACGAACCAATGAACCAATGAATCGATGAATCAATGAATGAGCTACTTCTTCATGAAGGGAGGAAGGCAGGGAAGGAAGGGAAGGAAGGAAAGGAAGGAAAGGAAGGGAAGGAAGGGAAGGAAGGGAAGGACGGGAAGGAAGGGACTTTTTTTATTTAAAATCCACGCTTGCCTTGCACACTTGTAAATACACTACCCTACATGTATTTATGATCATGTGTGTGTCTGTGTGCGCATTATATATATATATATATATATCTTTTATATGCACTCATAGTATTGCTAAACACACCTTAATCCAACCCTGAACAACTTTAAATATACCTTAAACCATTCTTAAATAAATTTTAAACCAACCCAAAATAGACCCTAAACGAGCCCTAAATGAGAACTCTAAACCAAACCCTAAATGAGAACTCTGAACCAAACCTTGGTGTTTACCAGGTGTGTGCTTTTCATTAGACACACCCCTGAGTACCGTATTCAACTTCTGGTAGTACATGTGAGAATAGGTATTGCCATTCTGCTTTGGGGGGGAGGCGCTGCGCTCTTGTTTCATTCCCCTCCAATCCACTCCCTCCAGTTGTTTCTTTTTCAAAATCTGAGCCTGCGCTCTTGTAACTACACTACTCTACATGTATCTATATATATTATAATATATATATATTATATTTATACATGTGTGCATATTTATAACTTCTTGGCAGCACGCTTTTATCACCATGTACCGTAAGCCAAATCTAGCCCTCTTACAAACCCGCTTAGCTAAATATGGGCACCACTTTGTAAGTATATATTGTGGTCTTAGGCATCTCCTTTTATATTCAACCATATTCGTTTGATGATATCCCTTGTTGAGGCTAATGGCCCCCAAGGACTTTCATATTGGGATGGGTTGAAATCACCAAGACATATTTGATACCGAACCATGCGGTAAATGCTGGGGGCTTGTGGGTTCGATTTTGGAACAGAGGAAGACCTCCAAAGATGCAGTGGTACAGGCAAACCCCGCATTCTCAGTACCGGTGCGCAACAACACCCGGTGTTTGACGACGCCTTCTCATTGCAGCATTGCCAGCCCCAACTCGGTGAAAGCGGGCCTTTCCAAGGCGGCGTCTGTTCAGTGTTGGGCCCCCTGCCTTCATTTTCATGTGTGAAAGGGCAACTGTAGATGAATGTCATCTTCCAATTTTCAACATACATGCAAATGGGAAGCTGATGTAGAATCTTGCCTGGATACAGATGTAGGTTTTGGTGCGGAACCAGTTGCAGATATAGATATGCGTATAGCTGCAGATCTACAACTATCTACTGCAATTATCTATCTACTATAACTTCCTGTCTAATCATATGTCTATCAATACATGCACACACACACATGTATATAGTTGTAGCCCCGCTTCTGTACCCAAGCGATGTTCAAGGTTTCGGGACCACGTCTCGCCTTTAGCCAAGTGGTTGCGCCAAAAACCCTCTGCTAAGCTCGGGTGCTATGGGCGTTTTTCTGTCTTCCCACCGCCCGGCTGAACCCATCCATGAGTTCTGGTGCGGCCATTGGTGGTGGTGCTGGTATGGCGATTGGTGGGTTTGGGTGGAGGCTGGGGAAGACTTGGAGCATTGCCGCTGCATAAAAATTGCTCGCCGCATATGCGCGCCCCCCTCCTTGGATCAGCAGGTCACGGTGACAACCACTCGGAAGTCATTGGAGGAGCCTGGCTGCGGATGACCGCCAGGGGTCCGGACTTTGAGCCGCCCTGGTCTGGGAGCCGGCCTCCTACGTGGGAGGAATGGGTGGAGGAAGGCTGAGTGCCGTGTGGAGCGTGCTTTTTCTAAATTTGTGTTGGCGGTTTTGACACGGCATGGGGGCTAGGTTCCTTCCATGTTCATGGTATGCGAATTGCCTTTTGTTTGAATTCTTGCCGCCATGCATGCACATGGCTTGCTGCACTAGGGCGACAAAATCACCAACGCTCGTGCGCTGGGAGCGCGCTGAGCTCATGGCCTTGTCTCGCAAGGCCTGCTTCTGGGCGGGTGTGGGGCTTGAGACGCCCATGGAGAAACCTATATATGTGGATATATAAACTGTTTCAGTCTGGACACGGGCATAGTTTTAACAAGATATATCTAAACTTTTACATAGACGACAAACAATATAGATATACATACTACATACCGACATCATTTTAAATTTTAGATGAACACATATTGTAAATCTGTGTATATACACTTACACGCGCATAAGTATAAAGATAAATATAATTAAAGATAAACATAAAGATGAAGATAACGATACATATGTATATATATGTATATATATATACACATATATCTGCATGTATACATATATTCCCACCTGCGGCTGCCAGGTCCCGGTGGAAATGGCCGAGTGCATCAGCAGCTATCTATGAGGAGCACGCTGGCTGCCTGTACTGTAAATATAAAAGAACAAAAGGTAGACGCCAAAAAAAGTCATGCGGGCCCGGTCAAAGAACCAAGGAGTCAAGCGAGAGAACAGTTGGAACCTGTGCAAAAAGTATATAAAGGGTGGGCGGTGCAGCTGGTGTTGGCAGATGAGTCATGGCTGTCAGAATTTGCAGAAGCCCACGGGTCACAATACAAAGGTTCGGTTGGCTGGCGTCATCATGCCATTGGTCAAAGCGTTCGAACCACATGGACCACATGGACCACATGGACCACACAAATCCAGGGACGCTCCGATCCCCTCAGCTTTTTGCATTTTTGTTTTTGTGAAACGAGCTCTCGGCTACAGCCTCGTGCGAATTCTTCCGGCCTCATCTTCCAAAAGTGCTCCGAACATGGCAGTTTTTAAAAAAACATTTTGGCAGTTTGAAGTGCAAACCGAGCTCTCAATATGGTCTCGTGCACTTTTTGTCAGCAACTTTCCCTGATCGAGGCCCGCGCCCCGTGGAAACAGAGACCTTACTTTCGCGACCCCAGAAGCCACCATACCCGCAAAAACACAGCGTTCGCGCCCGAGAGTGTTTTCACCCGTGATTTCACACGCTTCCGAACTTTCCAACTACTTAATGATGGGTGGTTGACATGATGATGTGGTCGACATGATGGTGTGAATGCTAACCATGACCATCATCCACAACTCGGAAGTCTTCTAACTAAACGTCCTTTTGATGATGGGGGTTACAACAACCCAACTAACACAACAGGGGGGCGCAATGGAACCATTAGTTTGTGTGGGTGATATATTTCACCATGTTCTTTTCAAACCCCATATCCCAACTTATAAGTCAAATTCCGTAATTATACCCATCGGAAACCCCAGCCCTGCACCCCAAGTGCCATGATACCTCAGCAACAGCTCTTAAATTGCTCAGGACGTTCATTGCGTCTCCTGTCATGCGGGAGGTGGCAACAAGTGCCGCGGCCTGAACGACCATGATCTTATCAGTTTGCGAAGCAAAGGTACCATTGAAGTAGGGGTTTCAACCAACAAATCGGGATTTAACCAACAAACATCCTTATCTTTCATCAATGTGGGGTTAAACCGGTCAAACCAACAAATCTGCATTTCACCAACAAAATGCTGGTTTAACTAGCAAAACCCGAGATTTATCGAAGAAACCTGTGCATTCAACCAGCATGGGGATGTAACCAAACCAAAGGTGAGTTCAATCAAAATCAACAATGTTTCTGTGCCTTTTTGGGTGCGCAGCTGGGGTCGAAATATGGGATATGCGCATGGTGAAAGAACCCCAACAAATTAGGATACTACAACCCCTGTAATTATGGCCATGTGTCCGCTCATTACGTGGAACTGCAACCCCAAAAGTAGGAAAAAAAACACATTCTTTTGGTTCAGGGGTGTTGCCCGAACGGAGTATACTGGTATACCTTACAATCAATGACAATTTTGAATCCATGTTGATTCGTCGCCTTATGTTGAAGCACTAGGATGGAACGAGGTTCCGAAATTTGAAACAATCACATATTTCTTTGGAGGTTACTTTCCGGTAATCAAACATGGCAATGGGAAATCCCCTATGAATGGGGATATTGACTGGAAAATCTTCTATAAATGGAAACATGTCCAGCAAACCATGTTTGATTACAGTTACTTGTTTACGATTTGAAATACTTGAAAAACTCTGAATGCAGTTTCTTTTACTCTATTTTTCCGGGTGTCCATTAGAAAAAATAGAATATGTTTGATAATCATCTCAAGTAATAATAGCTTATTGGTTCTGGTTGTAGGGTAAGTAGTGCTAAAACCCCACCAAATATAAATTCAATGGGATTGGAACTACCCATTGGTCAGTGCACATATAGGCGTTGCATGACGATGGGCCTGCGGGTATAAGTTTGAATGACCCAACATTGCAATAGACTCACTAGATGGGTTTGGCTCAAACAGTTTGGGTGCCCCAACAATCTGGAGTTTTCTGAATAAAACAAACTACATCTGTTGTCAAGTGATGTGCCAAGTACTTTTTTCAGGCAACCATGTG